AATTGGTTTTGAGACTGAGGACTGAGCTCGTTTTAATATTTAATCGAACTAAGTTAATTTTAAGACTTTACTATTTAAAGTCTCCTTCTTACTATTCATAAATTATTATTATTTATAATATCTTAAAATTAATAAAATAATACTTTATACTTTACAACCCTTTTAACTATATATTTATCTTCTTTGCTTTCTTTTTTTCTTCCTCATAGGCTTCATTTATACACACTACTATCACTGGTTCTCTCTATTGTCTGTGCACTCTACTAGACAGTTTGCAAAGACCTGAAACATAATATCTTTTATGTTGATGTAATTGACCCAAAAGATAATATCTTTTATATTATTACAAAATGTACATTAAATCATTATATTATTATAACAAATATCAAAATTTATTTTTCATCTTCTCCTTTTTTTATCTTCAATTTATTCCATTACATCATCTATTTTTTTCATCATTTTATGTCACCTCTAACGATTAATCAAAGAAGATAAGGGAGAAGAAAGAAACATAAAGAAATAAAAGAGATTATAGGTATGGATGGAGTAAAAAGATTTTATTAGAATTAAGTTATAAATTGATGACATATATATCTATTTACAAAATGATAACTTAGAAAGATTTAAATTTTTTAATATAGGATTATAAATAAAAAGAATTATAAATAGCAATCTTTGAATTTTAATATTCAGTTTAGCGAACCCATATTTATTTACCTCTAATTGCTGGTATTTTTTGTCTGGCATTATATCTACATCGTATTATAAATAGAGCATGTTCTTATTCTATGCTTTCTTCGTGTTCCATGTCGAACGAGCTTCCAACTTAAGAATGGAGAACTGAGAGGCGTTGGTGTAGCCAACCCACATTTTGACTTCATCCTCTCTTGCTCATAAGAATCAATCTCCAGCTGTTCCATGTGATGTGGTACCCTCAACATGCCACCCATCTTTCTCTACGGCTACTACTGCTTACTCTTGTCAGTACAAGCAATGGTTGGTGGTAGGTAGCTTCTTTATGTACCAATTGATATATTTTCTACATAAATTAATGTAATAAAATAAAACTAATTTAAATATTAGTTTTTCCAGATGTTTTTTTAATTTCAAGTACAGAAAGTATACCACTAAAAGAGAAGATGATGATGAAGATAGATATGGTGATCATCATTGAACTCCTTGTTCAATGATATTATTAATTAATTAAATATACTATTTATTATTTAAAGCTAGATTAATTTTGGATCAATTCAATTAAATATTTGTCTCTTTCTCGCTTTCCTTTGTTATCTCGTCGTCCATCTTCTAATTCTCATGCGTTAAGAGTTTAAAATTTTATAAAAAATTGAGGATATTTACATCCAAATTAAAAAAATCCTAAATAAAAATAAATAAAGGGATGTCATCTAGTTAAAACTTTTTTTTCTATAAATTACCTTATTTATAACTACTACAACTATTATTGTCGTATCGATCTCATCGAGTTAAGGATCAACATATCGCTAATTGAACCTATAGATTAATCAATCATATTATAAAGTTAATATTTTTTTAAAAATAAAATAAAATAAAATATGCTTATAAAACATAAAGATAATATATCATAAAAAGGATGATTAGTGGCAATTATAAGAGAGTAGAATGTTGAGGGATTAGAGTTAAATAAAAATAATAATGTTTTTTCTCCTTTATTTCTATAACAAAAACTAAATTAAAAGATAATAATATTTTGGTCTTTTTAAGTCATCAAACGGTCTAATTAGTGAACCAAATGGTCTGAGGGGCTGAGTCAAAATTTTTTTTGATTCCTTCAGATCCATCCGATCTATCGTTGACTTCATGTAACATCCGTCTTTGATGACTCGTTCGAGTTGGGCAACATGAATGATTTGGCCAATATCATGTGGCTTTGGCAGCTCATTCCCCACATCATGGTGACCTAACAGCTGCTGCCGTAGTTGACTTGATCCACCTTTCATTTGGTTTCTATTAAGTCAAACGTTAGGTAGAAAAGACAATAGAAAAGCCGTATAGTTTGGTCCACGTTGATGCATTCTTCACACGGACACGATGAGACCGCGCCCATTGGTCGGTGGTTGCCGGATTCTATTATTCTTAACACAGCTGATATAAATGATACATATTAATGCTACTCACATCTACAATAGCAGCAGATGCGGTCACCGACCGTGAGCCTAAGCGACGCTTGACCCACCTTGTCCGGCACGCTTATGACCGCGTCGTCGGTTCCGGTAAGAACCCTGGAACGCGAACCCGTACCCGTCTCCTAGGTCGTATACTGACCGCATTGATGAGCTCCACCTGCGGGTCATATCCGCTGTCCATTCTTCGATACGAACTCCATCGATCCGTCCATGTATGTCTCCACACCTCCCTCTTTCTCTCACCGCCGCGCGGCCCAACGATTTTATTGATCCGGACCGGTGCCGACACGGCCTCGGCCTGCTATATAACCGACGGCGAGCCAGATCTCTTCCCAAGGAGTGGTGGGAAATAGGAAACGCCGCCTTTTCTTTCTTCCTTCTCCTCCTCCCTGTTCGATCTGGTGACTGTTGTTCCTGGATCGATCGAGGAGAAGAGAAATGGCGGGCAAGGAATCTTCATCTTCGTCGATCCCCAACACGCCGTTGCTGAAGGACGAGCTGGACATCGTGATCCCGACGATTCGGAACCTGGACTTCCTGGAGATGTGGCGGCCCTTCTTCCAGGCCTACCACCTGATCATCGTGCAGGACGGGGATCCGAGCAAGACGATCAAGGTGCCGGAAGGGTTCGACTACGAGCTCTACAACCGCAACGACATCAACCGCATCCTCGGCCCCAAGGCCTCCTGTATCTCCTTCAAGGACTCCGCCTGCCGATGCTTCGGCTACATGGTCTCTAAGAAGAAGTACATCTACACCATCGACGACGACTGCTTCGTAAGTGCTTCCGCTTCGATCGCCCGCTTTCTTTGTTCTCGCTTCTAGATCTGGAATTCTTTGGGAGGGTTGGGTGTCCGAGTGAGACAAAGACGCAATCTTTTACTCAGTTTCGTCTTTCCCTTTTTCTTTCTCCGAAAATTATCTCTTTTTTCTTAAAACACCAGCAGACTGAATTAGGTGTTTACTTTTTGGACAGATCTGATTTCCTTTTAGAGTTCGATTTCTCTAAATTTCTGTGGAAAAGACATGTCAACGACGGTTTCTTGGTTTTAATTCTCAAGTGCACAAAGTAGATCTAGGTATTCGTATAGTAGTTGCCCATACAGCATGCTAGATCTACATGTTCTAAGTCATCAAAGTTATTTAATAATCCAGTTGTTGGTTCTTTTGCAGTCTCTCTTGCTATATTTTAGTTTCATGTACATCGTCACTAGATTGTTGGTCCTTTTAACTTTTATTCCAGCAATTTCTTATGCTTCTATTAGATTTAGACTCGCCTGATTCACTTCTTTGTTATGATTATCCATGAACGTTTGTATCTTGGTTCTCTTTTGTTTCTTGTAATTATTAACTTTGCAAAATTCTTCAATCAAATGATGCCACCATTGTCACTCTTAGGCTGCAGGTTTGAATTACATTTTTTGTAAGCCTCTGGATGTGATCTTATAATATATGCAATATATATAACTATAATCACAAGCCTTGATTTCTTGATCTAAAGATAATAAGAAACAGTTTCTCTGTGGTTTCTGATCCCAGGTTTGTGAGTCCATTATAATTTAACCAGATATTTGAGTGCCATGTGGATACAATTAGCAAATGTTATATGCATGAAAAGTTTTTATTGCTTTTGGAAGATTGGTTGCTTAATGTGGAACATTTTTCCTGATCTGTCATGTAAGCTCATGTTAGTTGATGAGATTCCTACTGTTATCACAGCTTATATGATCCTATATCATAATCTAGTATCTTCTGTCACCTTAAATAGGTAGCGAGATCTTCATTCATAGGCTACTGGTTTGGATCAGACCTTTCAAGCCTCAGGTTGTGATCTTGTTATATATGAAATATTTAACTAAAATCACAACCTTTGTTTCTGAATATAAGATAATAAGAGAAAAGACTCTTGCATTTATGTCTCGTGTGGTTTGTGGTCTCAGGTTGGCCATTTGAGTATGTTTTCATCTGATATTTGAGTGTCACATGAATACAATTAGCAAATCTTATATGCATAAAAAGTTTGGAGTTCTGGAAGATTAGTGGTGTCATATAAACGTATCTTTAGTTTTTTAAATTCCTGCATTGCAGCTCGTGTGGTTCTATATCATCATCTCCTGTGTTCTGTCATTCTAAATAGGTTGCTAAAGATCCCTCAGGCAAGGAGATTAATGCACTTGAACAGCACATTAAGAATCTCCTGACCCCATCAACTCCCTACTTCTTCAACACTTTGTATGATCCTTACCGAGAAGGCGCAGACTTTGTTCGTGGATATCCCTTCAGCCTACGTGAAGGTGCTCAAACAGCTGTTTCTCATGGCCTGTGGCTGAACATTCCTGATTACGATGCTCCGACGCAGCTTGTCAAGCCTCGTGAGAGGAACACTAGGTACTTAACATTGGAATATATGACCTTATACCATTGGCGTCTTGTTTCTCTACTGCAAAAGCTTATTCTTGACTAGTATGTCTTGTGTTTATCAGGTATGTTGATGCAATTCTCACGATACCCAAGGGAACCTTGTTTCCTATGTGTGGAATGAATCTGGCTTTCGACCGTGAGCTCATTGGTCCTGCAATGTACTTTGGACTTATGGGTGATGGCCAGCCTATCGGGCGTTACGATGATATGTGGGCTGGATGGTGTACCAAGGTCAGTGTTTCACCTCTAGTTCTTGCTGTTCTGTTGTATGGACCGATTCTATATTAGACTCTCAGATAAAGGTTGCCATAATATCTTAAATTTAGTATGTGCTGATTCTGCTTAAGTGAAAAATTTAGAATTACGCCCAGGAACTTTGGTTGTTCAATCAATCTGATCAATATCTAGTTGATGTTGATTTAGGTGATCTGTGATCATTTGGGACTTGGAGTCAAGACTGGCTTACCCTATATCTGGCACAGCAAAGCTAGCAACCCATTTGTGAATTTGAAAAAGGAGTACAACGGCATCTTCTGGCAAGAAGAGTTGATCCCCTTCTTCCAATCGGTTGTACTCTCAAAGGATTGCAGCACTGTGCAAAAATGCTATGTTGAAATGTCCAAGCAGGTGAGAGAAAAGCTGGGGAAGATTGACCCTTATTTCAACAAGCTTGCAGATGCTATGGTTACATGGATTGAGGCTTGGGATGAGCTCAACCCATCAGCCAAGGGGTGATAAGAGTAGCCAACATAATCATATCAATTGCTGTCTCAGTAGTGTTTTCGATTTATGCTTTCTAGATGTAACTCCTATTTATACTTTTGCTAAATTTTGGGCTTTCATGTGAAGCTTGGATATCTTTGCAGTTCCATGATTCGGATCCTTTTTAAACCTGAGTTGATACTAAAGACATTTATTTTTGGAAGTCTGTACTTCTCCACTTGGATGGTTCTCAATGCTTTTTTGGTTCCTTTTGGGAAAATGTTATGATGAAGTTTATTTCAGTAGTGATGATTTTAATTTAGGCTATGCTTGGTCCAGACTAAAGCAGTTGGAATTTTGAGTTGTAACAGCATCTGTTGTCTTCAAAGGAGCAAAAAAAAAGAAACAAAAACAAGCTCAGCTTGAGTCAACAAGTTATCATCCAGCAATGGAAAAAAGAAATCTTCATGTCCACACTGTGGTAAATTTGAGCTAAATGCTAGTAATTCCATCAATTTTGGAGGTGTAATTAAGGGAATAAAAGGCTTGGGCAAGGAGCACTATACCTCTTAGGTTTGTGGAATCATATCGAAATTGAAAAGATAAATTACTTATGTTGTGTTCAGTCATGATTTTTCTAAATCAAACTGATTCTCTAAATATGATTATAGAGAGCAATCAAATCCTTGGATTTTTTTTGTCAGAATTGATTTTTAATGGAAAACTGATGTGTTAATTCCAGTCAGTTTATTTTTTTTTTGTGCACTTGACGGTAAGTCATACCAGTCAAATCAAATGAAAAAGAAAAAAAAAATATTTAGGGAACTAAGATTTACATATCGATTTTTAATGGCAATTGATATGTCTTTTAGATATTATGTGGATTGTTAAACTTAAGTTAGCTAAAAAGTTAAGCTGATTGTAACTATAACTTATCTTTCAATTATATATTGGATAGATAACAACATTTGATTGTTCTTACACTCAAATTATATATTGGATAGATAACTGCTTAGGCTCCGATTGAGATTACGATTTGGGGTCAATCATTCGATGAGCTAGAGAAGTTGGCTCCGGTGGAGGTGGTGCGACGTTCTCGACAAGAGAGGGTGTGCCTTGGATGTGGATGTCACACCTCGTCTCCTCTTTTAATTCCCTAAGATTCACTCTTGTAGATAAGGAATTAGAGATCAAGAATGGATTTGATAAGTCATGAATAAAGCACCTCGGGCGATGATGCATACCCCCGGAGGTGCTGTTCTCAGACCAGAGTCACCAATCAATCTTTTTTCATGGTAATTACCATCAACACTTCATGACGTCTTTGATGTGATTTCCACAAATGTGTAGCGTTCATTAAACAATTCATGTTCCTCCAAATCAATTCACGCACTTCGAATCCTTCGAATGGTAAATGGTGGTGTACATGTAAGTTTGAGCTGGACTTCCGAAGGAGAGCCATGTGTCGCATGTCATCTTGTGCGTCGGCATTAACTTACATTCCTCCGAGCTCGGTATTATAGTAGCCGTCCGAAGGAACATTTTAAGCATAGAGTTGCAAGTCTGCTTTCATCAGATACGTCGCAGAGGGAAAAGCCGGGATCCGATCCAACTTTGGGAGCGCTGTCCTCGTGATCGAACTGCTCGCGTCCAAAGGAGTTGTCTCCATGCGATGTAAATGATAAAAAAATAATCAAATCACATTCATGTGACAGCTATGCGATAATATTAATAATTAGGAATCCAACGAAATTTGATCTATAAATGACATCGGGGTCGTATTCTCACCGGTCTAAGTCAGCAGTGAGGGGACGGACGGATGGGCTGGGCGATAGCGCTCCACGGCGGCGCCGGCGACATCCCGCTTTCCCTCCCGGCGGAGGGGCGAGCGCCGAGGGAGGCCGCCCTCCGCCACTGCCTCGAACTCGGCGTCGCCGCTCTCAAAGCCAACCGACCGCCACTCGACGTCGTCGAGCTCGTGGTACCACTCTCCCTCCCCTGGTTTGATACCATCTCGTGCACCACTCTCACTTTTGCCTTTCTGTTTTCTTGAATGTTCTTACAATTTATACTGCTCATTCCGTTGTATTGATAACGTACATGCATTTGGATCGTATTCATCAATATTTGCTCGTTCGTGTCGATGCTTTAGCGCGGTGACATTTGGATTTTGGAGATGCCTGTTGTATATATATTTTTTCTAATTACTCTGGGTTACATGCAGTTGATATGACTGGATGGGCAGAATAGCTGCCATTAGTCGGTCATAGTTATGATTGGAAATCACTGGAGATCTAAAAGATTGAGACGCAAAGTGCATATGCAAAATTAGGGCTTCATGGCCAGGATCTAACATTTGAACAGTTTAATTGTTCTTCTGAAGTTCAATGCTTCAGAGGGCGTCCATTTCCTGCTGCCTTACTGCCTCAAGTTAGAAAGTTTTGCGAATTTGCCAAGTTGGATAATTTGCTGTTTCTGACCTTTTACTCACTAGGCACATATGAGAGTCTCTCATCACCAAAACGTTCACTGTAGTTAGAAAAACCAGATTGTATCTCTTTATTATAGCATATATCCATTTGAATAGAATAGTGCTTGCGATAGTACAACAATGCTAAATACTGTCGTCCTTTACATCTTATATTAAGCTTCCATCATTCTGTTTTATAATCATATTGTTGTTGGATGTCAAACTTGACAGTCTTGTACCTCAAGATCCCTCCACTCTTTGGTGACATTTAAGAAAGGCAATATAAAAATTGAGTGCTACCTGATCTTCCTAGACATTATGCAATTGGTAACATGTAGATTGCAGTACTTCACTATCCTATTAAAGATTACAGGTTCTATAATATGTATTTCCAACCTTTTTTTTTTCTTTTTATTGTTGTGTGATAAAAAGTGCTAACATACTGTTCGTTTGTCATGGATTGGTGCATATAATATTTATTTCTTGTCTCGTCGTTGCCCTGTTCTTTGCATATGAAGTGTTCTGATTCTTTGCCTCATTTTATGCAATGGGTGTCTTACTACCCCTATTTAGATTCACATTGCAATTTTTTTGATACAAGCAGCAGGACCTCAATTTATTTTTGAATGATGTTCAGTTTACTCAATTACTCTACATACTGGGTTAAAAGATAATGATATCCTGTTATTAAAATTATTATTATTTAATTATGGTGTTCTAATTTCCAATATCTACTTCTTTTGGACTAATCGGAAAATGTTATACAGGTTCGTGAGCTAGAAAACAGCCCATGCTTCAATGCTGGCAAAGGTTCTGTTTTGACCACGAATGGTACAGTGGAGATGGAAGCATGTATCATGGATGGTAACACTAAGAAATGCGGAGCTGTCTCAGGTCTTTCTACTGTTGTTAATGCTATATCTCTTGCACGACTTGTCATGGAGAGAACTCCACATATTTATTTGGCATTTGATGGTGCTGAGGCATTCGCAAGGGAGCAAGTTAAGTCATCAAACACCACCATATTTTTTCTTAAATTTCCTGTTAAAGTTAGAGGTTTAAATGCAATGCCTTTAAATTTAACAGAGGTTGTTGATTAAGGTGTCTCTTATGCTAGCTGTTTATGTTTATTTTGTACAAGATACTAGTTTTCGACCAATTCGAGTTGTTAATCTCTTCGATCTGACAGAAAATTGGAAAATCAAAACTTTGTCTTCTACCTAATTTCCATAAACAGTCCAATAAAGCTTATGTAGGCCACTTGTAAGCATGTTTGCAAGATCATCGTATTGCTTATGTACAGTTGGAAATTGCTAATTAACAATGAGAAAATCTGGGTACACATGGGTGAGCCTTTTATAAGAATTTTTGGGTTGTGAGACAGTCTTATTCCTTATACCTTAGCCAATAATGCAGTTATATTATGTAGTGCTATTTGCACAATTGGAGATGAGCATTGTGATAATTTTGTGGATTGTTATATGATGACAACAGTATATTTCAGAACATGGAAAGTATCATGTCTTGTGGAAAACAAGTTGGGTATTTATATTGGGTTTGGAAGGATAGATTGTTTGATGAGCGCTAGCACATTTAAACTTTCTAGTTGTTTAATTATGAGTTATGGTTAGAGTTATATTACGAAAGAAAATCCTAGGATTTAGAAGATTTTGACTTGATCATGCTTGTTTGGAAATTAGAGTCTTATCCAAAGATAAATCCAAGGCTAGCTAGATTGATCAACAATAGGTGGAACTTATACAAGTCCAATTATAACATTGTCAGTTAGGACCTAGATAAGACTTGTTGGTGATACTTATATTACTCATCCGCCACTCTCTAGTCTACCTAAATATTTATGTGAAGACTAGAGGCTTGAGAAGGACACTTAGAGGAGAATCCATGACGAAAGGTAAAGATGATTTGGGCCATTGATTGAACTATATGATAGGAGAAGAATAGCTAATTCCCATCTCCTTCATTTTGAGACTATTTTGTCTTTTATCCTTTTCATCTTCTCTGGCAAAGTAACACCAAGCTAAATACCTTTAGTTGACCATCATTGAGGTTCTTTTCCAATTGAGAGCACCACTAAGGCTTGTGTAAGCCCTGCAAAACTCTTCTTCCCTCCATTGACATCGATTTCCACCTGTTTTGCTTTCGATTGCTGAATTTCATGTATATTCTCTCTCCTTGATAATCTCCTTTTCAACCTCTTTAAATCCATCAATTGATCGTTCCCCTACATTTCATGGTTTGTTGTCACTGTAGCAGAGTGAGAACTCAATAGGAGTCATAGCTTAGTTTATCGATCAATTGATCCTTCCCCTACATTTCATGGTTTGTTTTCACTATAGAGGAGTGAGAACTCATTAGGAATCATAGCTTAGTTTGTCTCAGTTCTCCAATAACATACCCTCAAGATAGCCAAGGAAATTGTTTGCTCTCCTGACAAAGATGAAAGAAGGGACAATAGGGCTTCAAGGAACTCACCTTTTAGGGTACCACCTGTTTCAACAAAACCTCTTATAGAAATAAATCCAGTTAATACCAAACTCACCCTTTATGAAAACTGATAGGGACAATGTTCACCCCCAATCGGGTTGGCATGTGGACATTAGCAGAGTAAAAAAGACAATAAAACATGACCATATCTACCATGTTAGTACAAATTGAAATGGAAGATACTCTCCACATAGGTCTCTCTTTTGACTATCCCATAACCCCTTGGAGGGATCATGTCAGGGACATCCCTGACAAGGGTCTTCTATTGTAGAACGAGGTGAAAAGGTCCAGCTCTACATCGAGGATCCTTGTCCTTGACCTTTCCTC